GCACTGAGACGCCGGCCAACACGCAGTCCTGACTTCCAACACGGGCTCTAGCTAAACCAGCTGTTTTGTGTTCCATGTAAAGTTTGCCTCCTCCAGGGAGACCTCGGGTTCTTCTGGACGCTGAGCAAGTTCTGTACAAGCAGATGCCCATTTCTGCCTTCTGGTTCCAGCTTTACTTTGACTCTAGTTCTTCCAAACCAAAGCAGAAAGCCCTTACTGACCCCTAAAGGCATTTTAACCGAAATCTTACTTTTCTCCCCTTCGCAAGCAAAACCCAGAGTATCTTCAGATGAAAAGCTTGTTTTATGTGGTTTAAACTCACCATCCCTTCCAAGGATCCTGCCGTTTTTGCATAGATTTTGTGTGTCGGCAGAGCACAGCACAGGTCTCTAGGCCCCGGGACTGGAGCGGGTAGGGATCGGGCCTTTGGGAAGACACACGCTGTACGAAGTTTCAGGCCCAGTGTTTGAGCTTGGATTCCGAAGGCCAGGGAGGCTGAGTGCCAGGGACGTCTCATCCAGAGCTTCTTTCCTTCCTAGTTCTCCAGGGTCCTGGGCTTGCCCCGGGAGGGCGCTGCAGAGGAGACGCAGTGGTGGCGGCCAGGCTGCCGCCAGAGCCCCAGGTGAGCTGGAGCCCCTCCCTGCCCTTCGCTACCGGGGTGCATCCTGGGAGGGTCACCCCCTCCCCGTCTACATCCTCCAGCCAAACGCCAGATGGGATGTCAACTTTCTCGTGTATGCTAGTGTCGTCTGTCGCTGTCTGACTTCCTGGTGCCTAGTTGGGAGCCTCGTCCTATTTCATGACTAGCTTGGGTGCTGTTTCCCAGACCCCTACTCCGTGTCCTTGGCCAGCCCCTTCTTCAGTGGGATCTTCTTCATCAGTAAGGGTGATTCTGCAAAAGCAAACTGAAGCTTTTGTTGCGACGGTGCTTTTGTCCCGAAGGTTTTCTTTTGCTTTCCTGCCCTGTTACCGGGGGGTAACCACGTGGTCCCTAAGCTTGCCGGGACGGATACGGCATGCCCACGTGTCTCAACTAGTCACACGACCGCAACAGTCTGTACTTAAACTGGATTGAACTTCTTAACCGGTCCTTCACGCCCTGGAGGCTCTGTGGTGTCCACTGGCTTCCCTGACTTTCCTCACTTCAGACCCACGTTTCAGTGTATCTGAATAACTGTTAATACAAATCAGCCACATCACTAGCAGGGGTCAGTTCCGGTCCTTGCAGTGGCGTGGCCTTCGTTTTCCAAATCTCTTTACCTTCTACCCTGGTGTCCGGATTATTTGCGTGGCGACCAGGGTGTCCGGCTTATTTGTGTGGAGACGTGGGCATCCGGAGTATTTGTGTGGAGAGAGCGGTGTCTGGAGCACTTGTGTGGAGACACCTGTCCTCACGTGCTGTCACTCTACTTCCGCAGTGGTTTTGTTGATGAAGCCGTCACTTAAGACCGGGAGAAGCAGCGTTAGGTGCCGTGCTGGCTTGGTCTGCGGAGCCTTCAGGGACTGTCCCCTCACCACCTGAGCCCCTCTGCGCAGCCCCCGGCTCCGGGAGGGACTCTGGGTAAGAGGAACTAGGAGGCCCGTGTGCCGTTTCAGGGCTTGCTGAAAACGGAAGACGTGGCCCTGGCTTTCTCCTCTGGCTGGGCGCGGCTCGATTCCTCTCGGGGGAGCTTCCACGGAGATGAAGGGCGGGAGAACCCCGGCGGCCTGACCTCCCCGGGTAAGACTGACGGGGGCTGGTTCGCCGTAGGCTTTCGTGGCTTCCTTTGTCGGTTAGAACCTACTGGGCTGTAAGACGCTGTCTGAATTCTGTCTGCGTTCAGAGCCACCGTTTCTGAACCCAGCTACTAACCACGTGCGTGACCCGATCTTTAACCCTCCCGGCCCGGCTCCTTTCCCTTTCCTGCTGCGTCCTGGCCGGGTTAAGTGGGACACGGCAGGTAGAGCCCCAAGCACAGTCCTAGCTCATAGTAGGGCTGTCACCGTTGGTCCCCTCTCTGTTGCTAGTTCCGACACAGGACGAGAGCTGGGGTGTCCTCAGGAAATGGGCCGTGGGACTGTAGGGCGAGAGCGAGAAGTGAGCTAGAGATTGGGGTGCAGGACACACGGGACAGCCTGACCCGTCTGAGCTCGTGCAGCTCGACCATGGTGCAGCAGGAGCTCTGGCTCAGATCTGTCAGCACCGAAGCCCGTCGTGTCGGGGCCCCTGTCTTCGTCTGGGATAAGAGCCAAGAGGACCGTCCCTGACTGACGATCGCTTTCTACGTGCCTGCTCTCCTTGTGTCGCACGGAACACTTCCAAGTCCTCACGCGTGCCTGCTTACCGCTGCCATCTGCCCCGCCCTCCTCGAGTCCAGCCCCAGTGCAAGGCCCTGCCTTCGTCCTCAGGACTTCGAGCCTCTGCGAGTGTCCCCAGCACGGTCCTTCCCACCCTCCTCCACCCCCCATCACCCTGCTTCCAATGACCCCAGGCCCGTTCTCAGTCTCCTTCCTCCCCAGCACCCGTTCTCCCCTTCGTCCCCATCCTCGTTCTTGTACGGAAACCCTCATCCCCGCGTATGTGGAACTGTAGTCACAGCTTTCCTGCGTGGCAGGGCATCACTGACCACGTGTGGCCACTTGTTATTTCAGGTGGTGAAACAGAGGCCGAGATCCGGGCCCTGCCTGTGGACGAGGTCCGGCCAGTACAAGAGGCTGGGGGAATACCACGCCCCCTGCGTGAAGACACTGCCCAGATTCCTGAAGGCACCGAAGCTGGCGAACAGGAGGGCAGGTTCCCGAGAAAGCAGAAAACTGCCACAGGAAGTAGGCGGCACTACTGTCATGAATGTGGAAAGAGTTTTGCTCAGAGTTCAGGCCTGACTAAACACAGGAGAATCCACACCGGGGAGAAACCCTATGAATGTGAAGACTGTGGCAAGACCTTCATCGGGAGCTCTGCCCTGGTCATCCATCAGAGAGTCCACACTGGGGAGAAACCCTATGAGTGTGAGGAATGTGGGAAAGCCTTCAGTCACAGCTCAGACCTCATCAAACACCAGAGAACCCACACTGGGGAGAAGCCCTACGAGTGTGAGGAGTGTGGGAAAACCTTCAGCCAGAGTTGCAGCCTCCTTGAACATCACAAAATCCACACAGGGGAGAAGCCGTACCAGTGCAACATGTGTGGCAAAGCTTTTAGGCGGAATTCACATCTCCTCAGACACAAGAGGATCCACGGCGATAAAAATGTGCAGGATCGTGAATGTGCAGGGACCTGGGAGAGTCAGGGGAGGGTGGAAAGCCGGTGGGAAAACGTTGAGGCTCCCGCGTCTTACACATGTAACGAGTGTGACAGGAGTTTCACTCGGAGTAGAAGCCTTATCGAACATCAGAAAATCCACACTGGTGAGAAACCCTATCAGTGTGACACATGTGGGAAAGGCTTCACCCGAACTTCATACCTCGTTCAACACCGGAGGAGCCATGTTGGAAAGAAAGTTCTATCACAGTGAGCCACGTCATACATGCCAGATTTGTTCATTCCTCACAGAACTGGGCTGAGGCTTTACTGACCGCTACATGCCATCTTGTGTTAGAAGGCCGAGTCTGGAGGGATGCATTGTCTTCTACATTCTAGAAGGTGGCTGGGAAACAGCTTGTTTGATAGGAGGCTCTGGGAGAGTTGTCTG